TGTTACCAATTACCTTCTTATGAAGAGGTCTGGGAACAATATCCCATGTTCTGTTAGCATCTTGAGCTGCCAGTTCAACATTCATAGCTCTTCTCCAGTGTTCTTCTCTAACTGCTTCTTCAAAGGAGGAAGGAATGATGGATGAATCCACTGCCATTACATATTTCTTGTAACTAGGAGATAACTGATCATATGACAAACTAACAACCAAAGGATAAATTGATTTAGTATGTGTGGTTCCTAAATTTAGCACATAATCATTGTATTTGATAGGTTTGGAAATATTTCTGGTTGGTTTTCTAACTGCAATTGGAAGAGATGCAGGCTGTGGTGAAACATGTATGGAAGGAGCAGAGGGCTGAGAAGAAGAAGGATTGGGAGAAGAAATAGGTGAAGTGTTTGGAGAAGATTGAGGAGGTAATGGAGAAGGTGGTTCTTCTGGAGCAGTGTTAGGATGCATAGCAGGTGTAGAGGGTAAGGGGTCTGAAGGAAATGGAAAAGAAGGAAATGTGTGTACTGGAGGAGAAGTGAAAATGGGATCATCAGGTTGAATGGATATGGGAGACGTAGATAAACAAGGTATAATGTCTTCATGAAAGACTACATCTCGAGAGACTATAACTTTCTGGTCTTGGAGATCAAAAAGTTTATATCCCTTAATTCCATAAGGAAAACCTATAAAGACACATTGTTTGGCTCTTGGTAGGAACTTGGTTCGATTGTGTCCTGATGTACTGGCATAGCATAAAACCCAAACATCTTTAACAAAGATAAGTCTGGTGGAGTGCCATAAAGAACTTCATAGGGTGTTTTTTTATCAATGGCAATGGAAGGAAGTCTGTTTATGAGGTAAACAACATGAAGGACAAAATTTGACCAAAACTTCAAAGGAAGACCAGACTGAAATTTGAGTGATCTAGCAACATTCAATATATGTTGATGTTTCCTCTCTACTTTGGCATTCTGTTGGGGTGTCTCTACACAGGACATTTGGTGAACTATGTTGGGATGAATAGCCTTGAAAAGCTATAAATGAAATTCTTAATTAATTATCCAGTATTTTCCCCATAATATGAAAATAAGATGGATAATTAATAAAAAGGAATATTATGGAGATAATTAGGAATAATTATCTTAATAGATTATATTTTAATTATGGGAGTAATTATCTCCCTAATTAAAATGTGACTTATTCCCAAAGAAAGAGGGAATATTCTGGGTTTTCTGCTCCTATAAATAGGAGACGCCCTAGACCCTCTAAACACACCTCAGAAGAGCAGAAACACGAGAGAGAGTGAATTCATAGAGCTCCGGTTTTTCGCACAAAACCGATGAGCAACAAAATTAGAATGGTTGTTTTATCCTGGAGGCAACCGGCTGATAGTCTGCTGTGCGCAATACGAGGCAGTGCCGCGAACGTCTTAAAGAGAGCGACCTAGTCCGCGACTCAGCCAGATCGGTAACCCTAATTTTTCTGTTCGGTTTCTAACAAATTATACCATGAAGAGAGTAAAACTCTGGTATATGGAACTCAGCTCCTTGATCAGACCTAATTGTTTTGATCTTTTTATCAAATTGTGTATGAATCATAACACAAAAGTCCTGTAAAAGCTTTCTGGCTTCACTCTTAAATTTCATCAGATATGTCCATACACATCTAGATCTGTCATCCACAATAGTAAGGAAGTAATGAAAACCATTATAACTTGAAACAACCAAAGGGCCCCAAATATCTACATGGATGAGATCAAAAACTTCCTTTACAATGGACTGACTTAAAGGAAAAGAAAGACGTTTTTGTTTAGACATATGGCAAACATCACAGTGATGTATGGACTCTATATCTATACTAGGGATAACTTTCTTCAGCTCCTTAGCTTTAACATCAGAGGGATGTCCCAATCTCCAATGCCAAATGTCAAATGACTGTGGTGTAAGGTTGTGTGTCTTGAGAGAGTTAATGTGTATGGAATGGTCTTCTGAAGTGGGAACAAGTTGGTATAATCCTCTAGTCTCTTGGGCAAAACCAATCATCCTCTTGGCTAGAAGGTCCTGGATAGAGCAAATGGTTGATTTAAAAATGAGTGAAATGGGTAAGGATTGTGTGAGTTTACTCACTGAAACTATGTTAAAAGAAAAGGTTGGGACAAACAACACATTGTGAATGACAAGGTGAGGAGATAAACGAAAACTACCAGAGTGAGTTGCTGGTGTTTTTGACCCATTTGGTAAAGTCACAGAGACATTCATGATAGGTTTATGTTTAATGAAACTGGACAGGGAACATGTCACTTGATCTGTTGCGCCTGTATCTAAGAACCACACACTAACCAATTCCAATGGATGCTGTTGTAAATATGAAGTCAGGGTGTATTTACCAGCATAGTTGGGGTTCACTGATAAGTGTCTGCTCACAGAATTCACAATGGGGTGTTGGGACTGTCCATTCTGATTGGTTCCAGGCGATCCAGGTGAAGTGGGGGAACTAGGAGATCCAAATTGTGATAGGATCCTCTGCAGTCTACTAACATCATCATTTGACAGTCTCAGGTTTGTGAACCCATCAGTTTCTAGTTTTGACAGAATTCCCCCTCCAGCATTATCCATGCTTTGAACTTGTCCTGCAAATGGTGAAGGAGATCCAGAGGCTTTGTTTTTCCTTTTGAGTCTGTAGCAATCAGCTATGACATGGTTATCCTTCTTGCAATATTTGCAGAAGAGAGGACCTTGTCCCTGTCCTCCTCTGGTATTCTCCTTCCCTTTTCCTTGACTACCAGCAAGTAAAGCAACAGTATCGACCTGGGACTCTTGACTAGGTCTAGCCACTTGCCTTTCATGTTGAATGGCATAATGGAACGCAGATTCCATAGTTGGTAGTGGATGCATCATGAGCATATTGGTTTTAACACCCACATAAGTTTCATTCAGACCTGTTATGAATCTAGTAACAAATTCATTCTCCCTATACTTCTGTACAGTGGTCTCAGTAATACAAGGCACAACTCTCTTCCCCTGATCTCCATTGCATACACAAGTTGGAATAGGCAAAAACTGACCTAATTCTTCCCAATGTCCCTTTAGTTCAGCATAGAATTGATTCACAGATTTGTTACCTTGTTTCAAAGTGTACACAGTCGTCTGTAGATCGCTTATCCTGATGTTATCAGCTTGTCCATAACGCTGCCTCAAATCATCCTAGAGAAGCTTAGCATTGTCCTGAGATGACACATTGTTGACCAGAGCTAGGTCAAGAGACCCAAGAATAAGGAAGTAGACTGTTGTGTTGCGCTTTTCCCAGGCTTGATAGCTCTCATGGGTTGGATCTGGAACTGGAATAGTCTCGTTGATAAAACCCAACTTGTTTTTACTCTTCAACGCAACTCTCACAGTGCGACTCTATAGATTATAGTTTGCAGTGCCTGTGAGCTTGATTGGAAAGCTCAAGGCCTCATTAGGGTTGACATAGAAAGGATTGGTGACAGTAGAAATCACTGTAGTGCTAGTGGAAGAAGTGGCAACAGTGGAAGCAGCAGCCTCTGTCGCCATGAGTGGAAGAAGGAAGCAAAATCAGAAAGTGGATTGAGGTAGAAGAAGAATGCGGGTAATGGTGGGTAAAGGAAACCCTAGACGTCTGAACCAGGCTCTGATACCATATGAGATTTGTTAGTCTGTGTGTATATGGAATGAAACCCGCAGGAATCATTGAGGCTCATGGCCTTGTTTATATATGAACACCCAACACCTTATGAACGAAGGGAAGGGAAAGTTACCTCACTACAACTGTACAACGGTAAGAAACGGAAATACAAACTATCCACAAACCAAACAACGACAGGTGTAATCTAACAGTAAAAACGGAACACTAACAACACTAACATAGACGACACCGTTCTGTCCCAACTCTTCAGTTGCTTCCGGGGAGAATGCGACGTTGTCCAGGAGGCTCCTTAATGCTGATTAGTCGATGTGGTATAGTTCCTCCATTCAGCATCTTCAATACCTAAGTCCAAAAACAACCTATATGATTTCCTCCAACGAGGGAATAGTGCACAACTCCTTATTCATTTTGTCACTAACCACTTGCGGAATCCTTATAGCACTGATCCATCAATCCTTTTTGTTTTGGTAAACAGGTTATGGAAAAAACTAATAACATGTGAGGAGAGTTCAACCGAGTGTGAAATGGTGTTTCCATTGTCATCTTTGAGCGACACAATCTTGTTCCTCTGCTTTCGGTGTATATTCGAAGAACAATAACTTTTGATATTCTATGAATATTTTTTAAGTCAATTGATTCTCGGACGTTGTTACTATAATAACTCTTTGTCTTTCCAGATAACTGCGAGTTCATTCAATAGATTCTTATCATCCGTAACTATGTATATAGTTCTGTCCAAGTGGAGAATCTCCTTCAGTCTTTTATGTATCTATGATGCTCTTTTGTTTTGGTCATTATAGACTTGCTTAGTCCAATTTCGTAATTCTTTCACATACTTTAAGAGTCTGATTTAATCAAGAATGCGCTTGAGAGGTTATGTCAACTTTTTGTGGAGTGGTTAAATGGTCTCACTACATTTGAAAGATTATGAGGTCAGATTAGTTATAAAAAAGTTGCCTCCAAAGTAGAATACATGCTTAACTTCGTATTAATGGGGTGCAGTAATTTTACCAGGAAAAAAGTTGACAATCAAATCGAATAGCGCACAAAATATAAGTATTGCTGACCAAAAGCCAGTGCAAAACAGTAACAAGAGTATAAGACCATACAGTGCAGTTAGTTCAACAGCTCACAGATATAATGCAACCACTTATTACGAGGAATTCTGTAAATGGCGAATCTTAAGCAAAATGAGTCGTTGTAGTATAGTGGTAAGTATTCCCGCCTGTCACGCGGGTGACCCGGGTTCGATCCCCGGCAACGGCGTTCAACTTTTTGGCCTGATTTTATATTGTCGGTTTCCAAATGGACAGCTTAACTACGAAGAAACAGAAGTTAGATAATTTATTTCCTTGTTTTGGTCTCACACACCCATCCACTTCTGCAAATCAATTTTGATTTGGACACTGAGTGAGCATGAAGATCTAACTTCGACCATAGAAATGCATTGGATTAAAAAAAATTAAGAATGTGGTCAGTGAAATCGTCCTCACAAAACACAGAATCTACCAACCTAATCCAAAAAGAGAGAACTCTGAAAAATTCTGTACCACAAATTCTGCATTCCTCTCTTTCCTACATTCCAGGTTAAAACTTGAAAGCCTATGGGAATCTGTATCCCGGTGGGAACTCACTCGGCTGATTATAATCACTCGGAACAAACACGGGTAGCTGCCCGCCCCTCTGCGACCTCCCCTGATGATGACCAACCACTGGCCCTCCGAAGAATATGGATTGCTCCGTGTGCAAAAGGTCTGCTCCTGGTACCTGCGACACACCTGCATTATTGGCAGAAGCCACACCACCACCACCGACTCTTGGGATCGATGAGGAAACAAACCGGCCAGCATCCGGATCCCAATGAACCGTAGCTCTCATACTCTCCATCCCACCACCACCACCACCCATATTATTGTTCCTTCTCCCAGCAGCTGCCACTTGGGGCTGGACTCGACCCACATTGTGATTTACAGCTGACGACAGTGGAGACTGGCCGGCTGAGGGCTGATACATCGGGTTGAAATGGTCTCGATTCTGCATTGGTGATGCAGCAAGGTGTGAGACATTGGCACTGCTGATGCTGTGGCGGCATGACTCGATGTCCTCCCTGCTCGTCTGGCTCATGTTGCTTGGGGCGTAAGAAGCGTTGCTTTGGCCAGGTTGATCGATTGGATTCATGGGGCTGCTCCTGGCACTGAAGTTGCTGCCAGAGAGATGATCTGCGTCGTAAGGCTGGTGTCGAGGAGATTTGATTGGGCGGAGGACAGAGGAAGATGCTCGGGCTTTAGCAGCTGCCTTCATTGCCTCATTGGAGTCCAGTTTTGCGAGTTTCCATGCACTGATTCTTACTTGACGTGGTGGTAATCTCTTGCTGCCTTCTGGTAATGTGTCGGGATCAACAGTCGAAGGTAGGCGTCCTGGCTCCAAATGTGGGATGATCTCATCCTTATAGATGGAAAGGGAAAATGTCAAATTCCTCAATCATTCTAAGACTATTGCTCATGATTCTTGAATGGGGTAAAAAAATACATAAACGGTCACCAAATTTTGGGGCCGCTAACAAATCGGTGGCTGAATTGAAGTTCGGCGACTGATTTGTTAGTAACCATTTATGTAGAAATTGACACCTCAGGAATGAGTGAACTGAAGACTTTCGAAGCTTGGCAATTGTAAATGCTTACCGGGTTGTCCATGAAGATTCTTGGAGGGGTACACCAAGCGCCTTTGTACTGCAACCCCATTCCAAGTGAACTTCTTCCACTAATTGCTGTCACGGCAGAACTTGTCGGTGAAGATGGAAGACTTTGCTGCTCACCTCCTCCATCGACCGATGGTCCCGGTGGTTCACTTTGTGTTCTCATAGCAATAACATACTCGTATGTTGTGATACCCTACAGAAGAACAAGTTAAACACCCTTCGTTTTCACAGCAAATGAAGTCTCCTGCTGGTGCATGACGTAAGTACCTTTCTGATCAGAATCATGTGGAAGAAGAATAGCTCGCCCAGGGGTATTGTGGCAAGGAATGATACAAAAGTGCAGAGTGCCTGAAAAATTGAAAATTCATACGAACTGTGTCAAAATTGTGTCAGGTGTGACTTTGTAGATTTTGAGGAAAAACGAATAAGTACATTTCTTTTTACAGCCTATGCATATATCTTCTCTATGGCATCCAGACTAGCAGACAGGTTCAAACATTTACCACTACTGCCGCGAATGGAGGGCGGGAGAACCCAATGCCAAGCTTTTCTGATATTTGATGGTCCATAGTTTTTCGATCCACAAAGCATCTAACAAGGACTGCAACACCAACACCAAACTCAACAGCAAGCTGCAAACGAAGGAAAGGTAGGTCGGACAATTAACTCTTGTTTTATAGTTTAAAGTTGGAGGAGAGATCGAACTCAGACAAATTTATCAGAAAGTTTGATGGCATCTAGCATTTACCCAAACGAGGCTGGTTGCCATGAGAGTAATAAAGGAGATGTAATTTTTCCTTCCTACACAGTTGTTCAACCACTGCACCATAGATGAATACAAAATTCTTTATCAGATTGAACAAAGCAAAAGAGAACAAAGCAATAAATATTTATATATACGAGGCCAGGTGCAGAAAAGATAAATGAAAGTTTAGGACTTACACGGCAATGGTGATCGAATCCATCGACACATTTATCACAACTTCTGCAATGCTTGCTGAACTTATGAACCTGAGAATAAGCTTTGAAAGTATTATGATACAAAAACAGTAAAATGTTTCTGCACAAGCAACCTCATCTATAGGTAAGATAGAGCTCTCAAAGAAAACAAAAATCAAACATCTCATGATAACAGGCATGAATCATGAGAACATCAATGTAGCAAAAATATCATCAATAAGAAGTAAAAACGCAAACCAGGTAGGAAGAAATCATTTATTCAACTATTTCATACTGGTCCTATTATCCTTCTCGCATTGCCAACTTTCGTTTCCAAAACTTCATTTTTTCCTCTACTCGGTTCAAGCCTACATTCACTTCAGACAGACAGCAGACTATCCAATAAATAGCACCATACCTCAGCATTGCATAATGTGCAGAACAAAGATTCATCTCCAGAAAGTATGTCTTCATCGCTCCGGCAGTCAGCTTTGGCCAGAAATCCGCAGCAGAAGCATCCAAGAATTGAGCAACATGTTGAACCATGTCTACCAGATGCTCCTCCAGTACTTAACCCAACCTTGTTTGCTTCCTCAATCGAAGGTCCATTTTCTAGGGAAGCAGAAAACAATGTTCATAAGCAACTGAAAGAAGCAAGGAGATCTCAAACAAGGAAGTTCCGTTTAAAACTCAGTATGCAGTATCAAAGAGGTTGAACAATATGACAACCCTAAATCTACGGCGAAACAAGTTCTCGGAAAGCAGAATCAAGACCAATCCTGCATTCACAACTTGTACATTGTCAGAGAGAGCCATTGTTTCCAAGGAAACCAACCAGGAATATCAGTGCCATTCTGTGATTTATCTGCTGCTGTCCCAGCAACTTGGAGCAGAATGCCAGGATCAGAAGGGTCAATGGCAGTGCATCGCACGTAAAGAGTGAAGACAGATAGCGCCTGAGAACAAAACCAGCAAAGAATCAGACACAATAAGCCAAAAAGCAAAGACCAAATGATGTAGGAGAACTGAACAACTGTGCTTTACTTACCAAAACAGAATAAACACCACTAGCTATATATTCATAGATGTCCTTCCCAAGGAAAGGCGCAAAGAAGGCATAGTACGCAACCGCTAGCAAGAAGAAAACTGTTATAGCCACGATCTGCACCAATACACCCCAAAGAGAAACACATTGTTGTCAGAACAATCCTTGTCAAGTTATGATTAGCCGGAAAGCAAAAGGATCCAAATCTAATATGTTGCAGTGTTAAAATCCAACCACGGAATCTCAAAAAGCCATTTTGACTTTGATCCCTCTCAAATGTCCTCCACTTTTCTTGACCAGGGAAACAGAAAGATTGCAACTTTCAAACTTAAAAAGGTCCGCAATCCGCCGTCATAATCAAGTAAACAGCAGCAAGACACAGCGCAGTAACAGTAGAATTGACTAAAAGGCAAAAGGGGCGGCGAACCCAACACTCTACTAATTCTCCAATTGAAGCCCCAGATGCCATTCCAGCGTCAGTCAACAAGAAGGGAAGCAGACAAAATCTGAGTAATGAGTCGAATTTTAGCGTTGGGAAGAGAACAATGCCCAAAATCAATGTACCTGAAAAGAGTGGACGGGGAGTTGCCATCCATGGCGCCTAGCCATGGCTATCAAAAATCGAACTAAGAGAATGGGAAAACGAAACCCTTCTGCAGGAGCCAACAAAGGGGCTACTTCTTTATTGAATCAGAGGGATAAAGTTGCCATCTTTCGGACTATGAATGAGCAAACTCGCCTGCTCCTCCCCGAGTCCCAGAAGGAAGTTTTGTGCCGTACTCCAGATCAAAATGGCAGAGTAAGCAATATCATTAAGCCACCAACAATGGCGGAAGAATGTGGGAGTGAAAAAAAGGAACGGAGAGGGGAAGTTGAGTTTCGCTTTCTAGGGCTGGAAGGAAGACGACCCATTGGTTTTCTCTGCTTCCACCCTGGAGGAAAAGGACCAGAACGAGAAAAATGGAGTAATCGCAATTTCCTTTTTCTCCTCCTTTTCTCTTTCCTCATTCAACGACTTCCTTTTTTGTTTCTGTTTTATTTTCCTAAACAATTCCACCATTTATTTTGCCGGCATATTGAGATGTGGAAAGTTTTTTTGCCAACCCATATATAAAAGAAAAGAGAGAGAGCGGCTTTTTTCTTTTGTGAAAGGTCGGTTTAATTTAATTCACACTGTATTTATTTATGCGATTTGGTATTTATTTATGCGATTTGGTGATTAGTTGGTAATGATTATTTTTTTGGTAGAAAAAAGGAGCGAGACGACGCTCCAATCGTTAGCTTAGGACAAGTCTGGGGTCTGTATACTTAAAACATCATGAAGAAGCAGATGGTTGAGTGATGACGTCGGAATCAAGAGAAGGTGCTCGCAAATACTAAAAGATAAAAAGATTGCCCCAATGATGCGAGGTAATCCGCCACCACGTTAGCCTCCCGAAACACATGCTTAAAGTTGATCTCCCACTCTGCCGCCCATGAGTCGACGAATATGGGCGACTACATTGTAGTGCGGACTCCCAGCTGATGCATTCTCGATCAGCTCCAGTGCTGCCTTCGAGTCTGACTGAACCTCCACTTTCCTCGCTCCCTCATTCCAAGCAACTCTCAAACCGATACAGATCCCCATGAGTTCAGCTCTCGTTATCGATCCTCCGCCCAGGTTAGCCGTAAATGCTTTTATCAGGCGTTCATCCTCCTTTCGAATAGCTCCTCCCGCAGCGACGCTTTCCTGGTTATACACCACTAACCCATCTGTATTTAAACAATCCCATCCCGTCGGGGGTGGGTGCTAGGCAATGAGCTCGTTCCGCCGCGTTGCCACCTCTGTGAAGACCTTCTCCTCCTTCTTCCAAGCTTCAATAATCTGGTCGTGCCACCATCTTGCCTGCTGCTGTGTCTCGGTAACTGCTGCAACTTGTTTTTCAAAGACCCATTTGTTCCGATGCTTCCATAGCACCCAACTCAATACAGCGAACAAAGTCGCGTCCACCTTCTTTCCACGCCCCGTCAGATAGTGGTGGAGCCAATCTTCCATGCTCTCTTGGAAGAACAACTCATCCTGCTCACCATCCAAAAACTCCGTCCAAACCGCCCTCGCGTAAGAACAGTCTCGGATCACATGCAACGTCAATTCCGGGCCATTACCACACAAGGGGCAACTATCATTGGTGGTGAGATGCCTTCGTTTCCGCTCCTCATTAGTTAAGAGTCTACGATGAGACGCCAGCCATAGGAAGGCTCGGATGCGCCACACCACTCTCCACAATGGCCGGTGATTCCCTAGCACAACAACTTCGTCGAGCAGTTCATATGTAGACCTGATGGAGAACTTACCCGATTCCCTGGGTCTCCAGATCGGGCGGTCGACTCCTTCCTCCTGGGGTACTAGATGTAGCTGTATTTGTTGCACCACACTTTGCGACAAGAAGGCTTGGAGATATGGAGTGTTCCACTCTTCATTTAGAACTAATTAGGCCACCGTCAAAGATTTGGCTTCCACCGGCAGCTCTCCCACTAACTCAGCAAGTGTCGGTCTATCCTGTAGCCACCGGTCCTCCCAAAAGCGCACCGTCGTGCCACTCTTAATGTTCCACATGATCGCCTCCGGGAGTAAATGTAGGACGCGGAGAACCCCACGCCACAAATTGGACAGGCATCCTGTTGTTCGTGGCTGCCACCCCTCGCCCTTCCTCCTGAGGTATTTCGCTCTTACCACTCTCGCCCACAAGGTGTCTGGTTCCGAAAGCAGCCGCCAAGCAATTTTTATCATGAAAGCTTCGTTTATTGTCGAGGCGCTTTGTAAACCCAAGTCGCCCTCTTCCTTCGGTCTACAAATCGTCGACCAGTCCACCAGGTGGATTTTCTTTCCCGGATCTGAACTGCTCCATACAAAACTTCTTATCTTCTTATCTATGTGATCACGTACGCTAGCAGGGAGAAACGACGTCTACATAGTATACGCTGGCAGGGCAGAGAGAACCGATTGTGCTAGTGTTATCCGTGCCGCTAGACTGAGAGAAGTGACCTTCCATCCAGCTAGCCGAGTGTCAATTCTATCTATGAGTGCTGTGTAGGTAGCTTTTGAGACTCGATCATGAATAACTGGCACTCCCAAATATCTCCCCAAATTCTTCGTTTCCTGAATTCCCAGCGCTTCACTGATGGCATCGCCCTGGGCTTGAATAACATTTCCTGAAAAGAAGACTCTCGACTTCGGTCGGTTGACCTGTTGAGCCGAGGCGTCCCCATCAGAATGAGGTCGTCCGCGAAGAAAATATGCGATAACTCCGGGCCGTTTTGAGACAAACGGATGGGTTTCCATGACCGATTCTCCACTGAGGTTTTGATCAGGTGGCTCAATCTCCCCATACACAATGTAAAGATGTATGGTGAGAGAGGGCACCCCTGACGTAAACCCTGTGAAGGTGAGAACTCCTCAGTCAACCCACCATTCCATTGAACCTGCATCTTGGCCGTCGTGATACACTACATCGTTAGCTCACTGAACTCTTCTGGAACTCCTGTGGCTTGCAGGGTGTCTCGCATGAAGCTCCATCGAATTCGACCATAAGCCTTGGCCAGATCTATCTTCAGAACCATCCAACCTTTCCTCCCTTTCTTTGCTCGCATCGAGTGAACAACTTCCTATAAAATACAAATATTGCCAGTAATGTGTCGACCCAGAACAAAGCTTGTCTGGGTTTCATCGACTAGATTGGGCATCAGGTTCTTAAGCTTCTCAAATCTCAACAAGGCTCTTCGTGATGATTTTATAGGCCACATTGCATAAGCTAATCGGCCTGAACTGCTCAATCAATGTAGGTTTTAGTATCTTCGGGATGAGCACTAGAATCCTGGAATTCACCTTCCCCACCCATGTTGGGGACTCCCGACAGCTCTTAGCGAAATTGACCATATCGGGTTGAGACCGTATTTTCCCAGGGCTTTTAACGAACCCATGGCTACCACTGCTCTGTACATCTCTTCATCATTGAAGTTCCTTCGGAGATCTGCCCATCGTTGCGGTTGTAGGGGGTTGAAGCCCGCTAGGATAGGGACAGATGGCATAGCATTATCTGTGTAGAGGTGGGCATAGTAGTTTTTTTGCCATATCCTGCAGCTTGGATTGATCTTCTTCCCAATTCTCATCGTCATCCTTCAGCGCTATAATGCAATTCCTGCGTCTTCTTTGCATGGCCCGGTTATGGAAAAATTTCGTGTTGCAATCCCCGGCCACGATGCCTTCTCCTCTAGCCTTCTGACACCATAGGAGCTCTTCTTGTAAGAGTATTTTCTCTAGCTCATCTTGCACACTCTTCACCTGTGCCACATTGCTGGCCGAGTCTCCCTGTCTTTCCAGTTGCTCAATTTTGAGAAACAATGCATTCTTCTTGCTTATAATGTGTCCAAAAGTTTCTTTGTTCCAGCGCCTCGCGTCCATCGCGAAAGAGGTGATTGAGCTTGTTAACTCATTCCCTTTAGACCATGCTGTACTAGCCATGTCCCGGAAGGTTTCATGGGTTAGCCAAGCTTCTAAGAACTTGAAAGGCTTCGGGGCACCTAGACTGAACTGCAAACTAAGGTTAATGAGCAGTGGCCTATGGTCGGACTTCACCCGAGGTAGGTGCCGCACCGAGGATTCCGAGAAGGCCGTCAACCACTGCGCATTTGCCATTCCTCTGTCCAGTCGTTCCCGTACTCCCTCTTTAAACCACGTAAAGTGTGGTCCTGCATACCCTAGATCATTCAAACCCGCATCAAGCACGCAATCTTGGAAATCTCTCACTCGACTAGAATCAAAAGCTGCTCCACCATATTTTTTGGATGCGTGAAGTATGGAGTTAAAGTATCCAACCAGGAGCCAAGGCATGTCATTAATCTCTGCCAATTCACGGATCAGTGTTCATAGGTCCTAACGTTGTGAGAGAGTCGGGTTACCATATACTGCTGAAAACGCCAAGAGATCTGACCATGTTGTACGTGCACATGGAGTAATTGAGACGAGCGGGCCTTCTAAGAAATAGTGGTCGTTGACGAATCCCATAGGATCCAAATCCCTCCTGCGAAACCCACTGCGTCCACCACTAGCTTCTCGTCGAAACCCATTTTTCCTATGACCTCCTCTGCTTTTGCTCCACTGATCCTTGGTTCCACAATGACTACTATCTTTGGATTAAACCGTCTTTTGTATTCCTTGTACACTCGCAAGAAGCGATTGCTTCCCGCGCCCCTACAGTTCCACACAAAAATCTTTTGATCCATTACTACCATGGAAGATGTCGAGGTAAGCTCCGTTCCACTCAGTTGGAAACACCCGATGTCTCTGATTGGGACCTCTCTTCACTAGTAGGCAAAGCCTCTCCCGGGGTCACTCCACTTGTCAGATCCTTCTCAACCGCATTGATGGGAGGGCTACTGTCTGGGGGGAGCCCCGGAGGTTTAGATAGCTCCACCGCACTGGTCGCCACAATAGTTTTGCATGTCGGGTCTTGTGCATTCTCACTGGCGGTGGTAGTAGGGTGGCTCAACGGGGGTATCACAGCATTGTTCCCTATCTTCTCCCCCGCATGCCTTTGATCAATGTTCATCTATTCGCCCTCTGTAGCTACCACGGGTACTGCTTCACTCAATTTCCCTTCAAGATGACTGTTTTCTTGGTTCTCTGTGTGTTTCGGGACCCATTTATGTATCACCTGTCTAGTTGCTTATCCTCTCGAGGCCCCTTGGGCTCCCTTATTCGATGTTGTAGGTTCCTTTGCACCGAGGGGAATCCGATATGTTTTCAACTCGTTCCTCATCGTCCTCAACCAACACGGCAAAACGGGAATCGGTGTTAATATTGTGATTCGGACCTCGAGTGACGTTCTCTCTTTCGTTGCTTCGCCCCCCACTGCCTTGTCGTCCTTGTTTCTTGTTTCGTCGTCGAGTTACCATCCATTCACCATAAGTCTCGCATGTCTCGGCTGGGAAGGTTGAGTGTCTTTCTGGCTTGAGGGTTGAGTTCCCTCCCCATGCAGGATAGAGCATTGTTCAATGAGGTGTCCATACGTTCCACAATGGAAGCAAATATTCTCTAGAACCTCAAATTTAATGTCATATTTGATACCCTCTATCTTGAAGTGTGACAAAAGAGGTTTGGTAAGGTCCACTTTGACACAGACTCGAGCGAAACCTCCTCTAGCTCCCAATTCCGTGGCACGATCCAGGCGAATGGGCTTGCCCACATACCTCGCAATGCATAGAACAACCTCCAGGTGGAAAAACTCTATCGGTAGCTCCGGGTGTTGAATCCACACACACGTGGACTTAATATCACGTGTTCTCGGATTGAAGCTTTTGACCCATCATTGAGTAGTCAAGTAATGTTCACCGATCATCCACGGACCTCCTGTTAGTGCTAGCTCATAATCCGCCTTGCTAGTAAACCGAACAACGTAGTAACCATGTGACTTGTTGGCGATTTGTATCGTGCCTGATCTAGCCCACATCATGTTAAGACGTCTCTCTAAGACTGGATAGGGGAAGGATCTACCCAGAACCTTAATGATTAGTGCTGAAAGCCATTCTCTTCGCTACGACCTCAATTCTGCAGCTGAAAACGGGATCGTTGGAGATCGGGGGTCTTCTTCAGGGGTTTCCTCATCCTTATTATCCTCCCGCATGGCCTCCGAGTCTGAATCCTCAGCGTACCATTTGGTCTCCTTCACCGCTTCGCTAAATAGCTTTCTCTGTCCAGCTCCCCACGCTGGGGCTTGAGGGCTATGGTTAGCTAGCTCCCAATCATTGCGCGGTTCAGCAGATTTACCGGTGGGTGCAGCCTCATCGTCCATCTCCTCCTCCGTGATGTCTTCTACTAAGACGTCATCACTCCTCTGTGATTCCTCCAAAGGACCCATGGGTCGAACTCGTTTCCGTGGATGTTGCACCTCCTTCTCCTTTTTATCGTCCGACGACGAGGAAACCTCAGGCGGTCGCCTGTTCCCCACCACTGGATCAAGTGGGTTTTCATCCCCTGTCGGCGCTGAGTTAGCAGGAGCGATGGTCGCCGCCATGCAGACGTCGAACAAACCCGCAAACCCTAATCGCCCAGTTCGCACGCTCCGACAAAACCGGAGTCGTCCTTCCTCGTTCCCCCCTTTAAATGGTAATGATTATTCACGTAGTATAATAGTGTTTATTAAGTATATTGTCATTTATTTTTATTGTCGTATTTTGAAAAATTAATCTTTACATTTTGAAATAAGGTAAATGCCACATTTGGTCATTGGGATTACTAAATCGTGTTATGTTTAGTTACTAGAAAAAATTAATATAAATTTTGGTCACTCGAATTACTAAAACATGTCACATTTAGTCACTCTCCCGTTAGTTTTCGTCCAACTCCGGTCACTCAAATTACTTCTTTTATTATGAATGTCACTCGAATTACTGAAACATGTCACATTTAGTCCCTCTCCGTTAGCCTCTGTCCAACTCCGTTAATGGAGTTGGACATAAACTTTTGGGAGAGTGACTAAATGTGACATGTTTCAGTAATTCGAGTGACTAAAATTGATATTATTTTTTTCTAGTGATTAAACATGACATGATTTAGTAATCTCAGTGACCAGATATGACATTTACCCTTTTGAAATATATCAAAATGGATGTTATTGGGTAAATATGATCAATGTAATTCATTTTTATAAAAATTTGAAAATTCTAAGTTAACTCCTTAAATTATGGGCAACAGCGCAAGCTTTGGCGAAGAGCTTGAAGTGGTTAAAATTTTGAAAACATTTAAAATTATTGTTGAAAATGAAAGCAAACAAAATTGTTTCCAAGTTTGTAAAGAATTATTATTTATTTAATTATTTTATATTTAAAAGTTTCATAATACGTATTATTTGTAACATAGTTGGTAAATAACTAATTCCTCTAAAAAAATATCGCGTGTTCAAATTCTCATCCTATTATTATACTTTATTTATAACAAGCATTGGGGAAGAGCTCGAACTGGTCAATCGTTGAATAGGTTTCTCAGTTAATCGCTCAAACAAGTTGTCAACCGACCATTTCTTAATAAGTTTAACTGCCATCTGAACCATACTAGGAGACGATTGCTTGTTTTACAGGACGAATCAGGTGGTCCAACTTGGGTTTAATAATAACACTATTTTACCCTCATTATAAACCCATTTGGGAGAAAAGTCTGTCCTAATTCTCAACTACGTGTATCGAAAAAATTATCAACTAACATTAAGCGTTAAATCTGCTTCTTCCCGTACAAAGGCCAATACGAACAAATAAAAAATCACAACAATTTCACCGAAAGTATGAAAATCGATAAAATCTTGATATGACACTGTTATAGTTGTCTACTTTTCTAGAATTTACCTTTTCTAAATGAGATCAATCTTACCATTTAGTTAATCCTTGAAATGTTATAGTCTTTTTTTTTTGTTAATATGTAATTATAACAGTTTGATTCTTGCTCTAATCATAACTTCTTTTATAATTGAAATCAAGTCATAACCTTTTTTAATATATATGTCATAACCTTTTCAGACACTCACAACTGAAGAACTGTTGTGAATGTTTGGTATGGGAAAGACAGTCCCACATGACATATTTAACATACACCAACTAATTAGGTCACTGGTGGTGTTAAAGTAATTATATAGTGGGGCAATGGGGTCCCACGCTAATCAATCTAAGTTAAGGACATAGTAGTTGTAATTAGACTCCAAAAGAAATGTAATTAAACAAAAAAGGATGGATGATCATATGCTAATAAAGAAACACCAGGTGGGGTTGCTGTTTGTTGACCTTTTGGGTAGATGCTCTTACTCCACTTGAGCTGCCATTGTCCCACACTCTTCGCTTATAAAATTGATCATAATCAGACTATTATGTTGCTGATATGTTTTTGTTATAGAGGAGTTAATTTGGACTCTCATTAGATCACCGATTTTTATGCTTAATGCTGACTGTACTGAAATAATTGTTTGGTAATTGAAATTTCATAAATGTTATAAAAAAATTAATTTGGGCTCTCATTACAAGATTTGACTCATACCCAACTCAAAGTTGTATATAGAAAGTCCCTTGGAATTATCTGAATAGGAAGTTTCCAATGGCATCATCCTTGTTGGCATTACTATAATCCACACCACTAAGTAGATTATGATATTGGATGTAGTGATCAAGTGATTGTCATTCTGTTTGTTTTATTGGATGAGACACAACTTAACTTTTTGATACTAATTGGTTGGCATCACTGTATCCCATCCATTTGTCTCGTTTTATGATAAGCATGGAGTATTAATTTGTTGGGATTCCCTATGGTAACTTGGGTGTAATTTTAAGTTAGGTAACTTGATTAAATCTGAACCATTAAAATATATCCCAATCACTTTAAGCCATTGATTAAATAGGGAAGAAAAAAAAACATAAAAAGGGGAAATAATGGCCACCGGCGGTGCCGGGTTCTTTGAGTTTTGCGGAAAAGCTTCTTTCCTTTTTCTATTTGATGTGTCTTCCTTTTCTTTTCTTTTCGTGCTTATTTTTTCCTTTTTATTAATTAATTATTGTATTTAATATTCATTACGTAAAGGTTACGTAATGATAGTTATGTTTTACGTAATAGTTAAGTTAGAAGTGTTACGGAAAGCTTTCGTAATGACTTAGCACTTTACGTAACGCGAGATTAGTATTCATTACGTAAAAGGGTCTTCCATTACGTAAGGTTTCCGTAATGACATTTTACAACTGTTACGTAAAATACACATCCATTACGTAAAGTTTACGAAACAATAGTTAATTCTTACGTAACAGTTAAATCACAAGCATTACGTAAGCCTTCCGTAATGACTTAGCACTTTACGTAACGACAGGTTAATACTCATTACGTAAAAAGAACTTCCATTACGTAAAAGTTACGGAACATAGTTATTTCTTACGTAACAGTTAAATCATACGCGTTACGTAAGGCTTCCGTAATCACTTTACACTTTACGTAATGCAATCTTGGTATTCATTACGTAAAATGACCGTTCATTACGTAAGTCTTCCGTAATGACCTTTTACAACTGTTACGTAAGATTACCAGAGGTTACGTAACCATTACGTAATGCCTATTGTATTTTACGTAATGTGACCTGTGAAACCTGCTATAGCAGGTAAAAAAATTCAAGTTACCTTACTTCAAGGTACCGTAGGAAATTCCTAATTTGTTTAAAATGATCACATACTATACCATACATTTATTTATGAATATTATTTTTGTATTTTCACTCAAAGACATCTAATAATGACTCAACCTTATCAATATATACCATTGAGACAAAAAGAAATACAAATTATTTAGACTCAAACATTTATATCAGGTATGAGGTCTTTAGATTTACCAGGGAGGGATGAGATACGGTGACAACCCATTTTATAGCCATAGGATCCATTCTCTCTCTTGTCACACACACACACACCATCTTTCTTCTTCCTATTCTTCTTCTTCTTCCTCCCATCTATTCCCTCACACACACCCACCATCTTTCTTCTTCCTATTCTTCTTCTTCTTCCTCCCATCTATTCCCTCTCTCTCTATCGGCTGCTGCCACCACCGTCGTCGCAGCTGTCCTGCCGACTCGCCACGCCCTCCGCCTCTCATCACTGCTACAGCCCTCCCGTCGTCGCGCCCTTCGCCTCCCAGCACTGTCACGTCCCTCGCCCCGCAGCCATCGCGGCCTCCTCCTCCCACCACCGTCGTCGCAACCCTCCCGCCGCCCTCTGTCTCCCACCACCACCGTCGCCACGAGGTCACCGCCTCTCCCTGACTCCCCTTTTGTCATCCCTGATTTTTTTTTTCCAGATTTGTGATTTTTCATATTTCGGATCTGATTTTTTTTGTGCTAGTCTCTAGTGGTACGTTACCAGTGGCAATGGTACCGCTACCAGTGGTACTGGTACTGCTAATGGTAGCGCTACAAGTGGATTGGTACACTTTTTAACGCACTGGTAGCGTACCACTAGCACTGGTACATTTTTTAACGCACTAGTAGCGTACCACTAGCACTGGTATATTAATTACCACTAGACTAATGGATTGGTACACTTTTTAACGCACTGGTACATTTTTTCAGGTTGCCGGAGGGAGTCTGCCGGAGAGAATTCGTCGGAGAAAAAGTCTGTCCATCGAAGCGGAGTGGCCGCAGGAGAAAGGAAGAGAGAGATAGATAGAGATATTAATGCATATGATTTAAATTTAAAAAAAATTATATTTAATATGAGTTTTTAATTCCCAATCTGATTAATACAAAAAAGGTCATTAATATATTCTTTTTTTTCATACCCAAAATACCATTGGTTGTCAATATGACAACCCCTAAGGGTTGTCACCGTATCCCGTCCCTATCAGGGACCTAAAGCCAATGAGAGAATTATAATCCTTAATACCCTTCAACTCCTTTTTTTGGTACAACCCAAAATCTTGTCCTCATTTTATATGAATATATTACCGTTTGGTATCAAATAAATCGAGAATTCATTTCATTGTAAAATGAATTACCATGTAGAATTCATTGTCAAATGAAATCTTGTATTTGCTAAGGTACATTCAAATCGTAAGAAATAAAATAAATTACCGTGTAGAATTCATTGTCAAATATATTCATGTGTTTGGTGTATTGACTCGTCCCGAATAGCACAATAATTTCCCGCCTAATGTCCAAGTATAAACCTTAGTCGGGTGCAGTACATGATAAGTATGTTTAAATATCAACCGACCCGGTCCGTCTACCCTTACTTCAGTCATTTGAATCATTATCTAGCAATTAAGTTTTGGTTGAAAAGTTTGCTAATTAAAGTAAAACAAGACAAAGGTGAATGGTTTTGAAAGCTCTTTTGTGGAAGGATCACTCGGGTGTCGCTTCCCCCTTACTACTACCATGGTATGTGAACCGAAATGATTGCTACTAGCAAGGTGATCACTAACCGCTAGGGGACACAAATATGGTCGTAGACCACGCTCATGATTGCTAAACCGAGGCATGCATTATAGGCTGTCACTAGGCCCTCTCGGTTTAGGCAATCAATAGTCGACTTATTCCCTCTCTCAACCCACGGGTTGGACGGCTTAATCGCGCTTAACCAAATTGCTTAATCAAATATTGAGTTTGCCCTAAATTAACCTAGTTAGGAGACTTAAAAAGCCCTAGGGATACCAACTCAATTGAGACTCCCTTGGAAGGGGGGTTTCCCTCTCTGGACTAGGTTAAGTGGCTAATTAGATTGCTAAGCATAGACATGCACAATCCTTAGGTTGCTAAGCACCAATCATGCACAAACCTAAGGATGCTAAGCACAAACATGCACAATCAAGATGAATAATACCTCAAACATTTGAATTAAACAATACCCAATGATAATCATTCAATTCACATAAAATAAAACTACATGGTAGAGTTAGGGTTTCACAACACCCAAGTGAAAAGAATTCTACTCCATGCTAGAAATGAGAGACACACAGGAGAAGGGGTAGAAACCATCTTGGAGGAGGCTTCTAATCTTATTGGCCCTTGTGTTGAACTTTCCTTGGAGAAAATCTTCCCAAAATCCACCTTGGAGCAAAACCCTAGCCTCCTTATTCTTTGGTTCGTGTTTCTCTCTCTAGAAATCACAAGAAGGTTTTATCGCTCAAATGGGCTCCCCCTCTTCCTTTCAGCTTAGCTTTTAAACAGGGAACGAGTTGTGTTCACAACTCCAGTTCACGGCTGTGAACACTGAAACGTGTCTGTGAACTCCAATGGGCGCCGAAACGCATCGCTTCGCTTGCTTGTGTTCACGGTCCAAACTCCTATTCACGGTCTTAGTGACCGTGAACACGTCTTGCGTTAGTAACCTTTGGAAATGCTTTGGACGCATCGACATACATGGTCAACAACTCCTTTTCACGGTCATGAAAGACCGTGAACATCCCAAGAAAATCGTGATCTCGCCCTTTTTCACCTATTCTCCTGGTTTTCGATCCTTTTCGTTCAACTTTCGACTCCGAGGCTGGTTTTGCCTATTAAATCCTGAAACACACTAAAACACGAGAAAATGCCTAAGGAAAACGGGGGTAAAACATGTGCATTTAGATCCGAATCATATATCATATGTATAAGTAATTGGACTTTGCTACGGTGACATGCATGTCACGGTGACATGCACTTTTCGGTCGACCTCATATAGGATCAGGTCGACCTAATCCGTTGTTTCAGTGTACAAACAGTTTCATGGTGCCTACTTTGGAGATGCATATCTTACAATTGGCTAGATGGAAATTGGAGATTAAAGGCTTGTTTTGAAGCTGAAGTGTCCCTCTACACATTAAAGTACTTGGGAGCTCAATAGAAAGTCCAGAAGACCATTTTTGAACCTGACCAAAAGGCTATGCCAAAACTGGGAAACTGCCTGAAAATGGCTAAGTCTGGCAACGTGTTTGTCAAGCCTACTTTGGAGCTCAATTTGACAAGCATGGATGCGAGTCAAGTCCAGGGGCCTTTACCACATTAAATTACGTATTTTTTTATACAAAGGCAAGGCATTGAATGAAAGATTGAATATATTTAAGGCTTCAAACAAAAGGCTCGAAGTTGCTACGAAGGCTGTTTTTCTGGCAGCTTGCTTGTGCTCGAAGTCTGCCAGAAAAACAGCCTTCATAGCAACTTTGACCCTTTGGTTTGAAGCCTTAAAGATATCCAATCTTTCATCCAATTCCTTGAATTTGTATAAAAACATACCTAATTTAACGTGGTAGAGGCTCCTGGACTCGACTCGCATTCATGCTTCTTGAATTGAGCTCAAAAATAGGTTTCACAAACACGTTTCCAGACTTAGCCATTTCTAGGCAGTTTCCTAGTTTTGGCATAGCCTTTTGATGAGGTTCAAAAATGGTCTTCTAGACTTCCTATCGAGCTCTCAATCACTTCAATATGTAGAGGGACACTCCAGCTTCAAAACAAGTCATTAGTCTTCAATTTCCATCTAGCCAATTGTAAGATATGAATCTCCAAAGTAGGCACCATGAACTGTTTTTACACTGAAACAACATATTAGGTCGACCGGATCCTATATGAGGTCAACCGAATCCTAAATGAGGTCGACCGGATCCTATATGAGGTCGACCGAATTCTATGTGAGGTCGACCTAATCCTAACTGAGGTCGACCGGAAAGTGCAAGTCACCGTGACATGCATGTCACCGTAGGCACACCCTAAGTAATTTTGTTAATAAAAGAGGATAATTATGTCATTCTATTATAATTAATAAATACTAGCGGAATTCATTTGGAAATTCCATATCAATTTCTCAGAATTGCTATAACTAGTTCCAATTTCATAGAATTCAAAATTTAGATTTGAAAATGTATTCTTTTATATACCAAACACAAAAATGTTTCATTTCAAAATGAATTCCCCAAAACTTATGAAATTCATTCATACCAAATTGTATGTAAATTATTGTATTTATTGTTCATAGATAATAAAAGGTAAAACTTATTGTGCTAGAAACTAGAACTCTCAAATAATTTAGAAATTCACTTATTAGTTCTCACATTGGTTGCTTAAAATGAGATCAAAAAATGAAATTAATCTTTCGCTGGTTCATATATTTCTTACCCTATATCTCATGAAACTTAGGTTCCAGTAGGTGAGCGGCTGGGGTGCAAAGCTCAATGACGCCATGAATGGTTGGTTTGGATGGTCAAGAGCTAGCTTCCGATGAAGATGAGCTTAGACAGAATCGAGACTGGAGGAGAATCGCCAGCACACAAAGCTCAGTCTCCGCATCAATCGTCACTCAATCCCACCTTAAATCGCGCACAATCCCTAAAACATCTGAGTCTTCTTCTCACAACGTCGGCGAGATTGAAGATGCAGGTCTAGGCTTTTGGAGGTCTCCGTCGCTTTGGGAGTAACAGAGTCTCCCCAAAGCTCCTGCATCGTCGTCAGGAAAGGGTAGTGGCTTAGTGGCTTCATCATCGTCGCCGCGACAGTACTTAACCCACAACCGCCGCGACCGCGACTCCTCCTCCGCCGCTGAGAATGTCGTCTTTGACAGCGATTTCCAGATCTAGGAATTGCCCACCAACACCCACATCATGGCCAACATAGTGGCTTCAGCTCCTTCTTGAATCAAATCGACACAAAACCCACTCCCATCCCCATTTGTTCAACGAAAGAGAAGAAGATAGCTAGTGCTTAGTGGTGCTCGATTTCAGAACTGGGAAAAGAACACCCTTTGTCGAGTCCCTGCTAGTGGCTTCTCGAGTCCTTGCTGCAGTGGAAGAACAACGATAGGCAGTCATTGCACTCGAAATCGCAAAGCCTCCCTCAATTGGGCGAAGGAATGGTGGAGTTTTGGGTTCGACGATGCGGAGAAGCGGCGGCGACGGCTGGTGGAGCTGAGTAATCACAGAGGGAAGGAGGGAGTGCGCGTTTGGTGAGGACCTTTCATATCCTTTTTTATTTTTTTATTTTACTTTTTATTTTTTAATCTTAATCCAGCGTGGAATTGTTGCTGGAGAAACTCGACAACTCAACATTTCCATTTGTCCAGTCAGCTTATTAGCTGACATCATTAAAGAATTCGACGGAAGCGGCTATAAGTGATATTTTGAAAAATTTAAATATTATTGACATAACCATGAAAGTTTTGGATATATTAACCAAAATATTAAGTATAGTCATATTCCAATCCACCATTCAAAGATTGTGCAAAATCTGAATGTAACATATACCTCTAAATTTACAACCCAAACTCATTAGGAGTAGAATCCCTCCTCAACACCTAGAGAGGGACTTAGCGTGATTTCTGCTAGATAGTATCGATTCGAACTTAACATGATCAGCAAAATTTCATAAAAAAGGGAAATGAAAGAAAAAAATATTCTCATCCTTCCCAAAACCATTCAAAGTTGTACAAAAGTAAACTCCGACTGATTGATCTTCTCCTGTTCATCTCGCCGTCGGGTTTCATCAACGTGCCCATTCCGATCGGATCCACCACCGCCGGATTCGAATTCCGACGCATCGGTGTCAGAGTGGTAATACGGCGCACAGGGGACATCCTCAATGTCATGCTGAGTCGATCGGTGATTGAAATTGTGAAGCAAATGCACCGGAGACGCCGTCGTGCTCGGTGTCGTCTCACCGCTGGTCAACACCGATCCTCCTCCTCCGCCGCCTTTCGCTCCGGCGAACTTAAACGGACGGGGAGAAGTAGCTCCCGAAGACAGGGGACTGGCTCCTTCCCCACCTGCCTGCCTCAACTTCTTCCTGTCTTGCGCCGCCTTCTGCCATTTCCTCAGCGCCTTCGCTGTTTGCTCCTCGAAGATCGCTTGCTTCATGTTGGAACCCATCTGCCCAAAATGGAAAAATTGGCGGGTATTTGTTCAAAGTTCGTAACTTTGAAGTAGAAGGGAGCTTGAAATTTACAGAAGGAAAGCAGAGTACTGACCTGTGTGACTAGAGAATAGAGAGGGAAAGTGATGTAACTGCAGATGAACTGAAGGATAATGGCGAGGGAAACTCTGACCAGGATTGCCACCTTGTTTTCACGGAAGCAATTGTTGAACTTGAATTCATACTGCCCGCCATTTTCCAATAATGGTTAGCTTTTGTCTCTGTTTTGGGTGGGGGAGCAAAACAGGGGAAGGAACAGAGGATGAAGGAAGTAGCAAAAGAAACGTACCCAATTCCACAATAGATACGCCATTTGAAACGCATTCTGTAGAAAGAAAGCAGGAAAGGCATAAAAGAGATGTGAGAAACAAAATTGATGGAAAAATTGTAAACTAATGAAAATGAGAGATGGCGGATTAGGGTTTCACCTGGAACAGAGTGTAGTGGAGTAAGAGGAGGATCCAGTGAGGTCGATTGAACCAGAAATATCTGTTGTCGGGTTCAACGATTGGAGCTCCTTTAACCACTGTGCTTCTTTCTTGGATCTGCTGAGCCATGTCCATGATGACAAGTTCCAGTTTGGTACCAACCACCAGAAGTATCTAACAAAAGCAATTGTCAGGGATGACACTTATTGCTCTGGAATTGGAAAAGTTTTGGTGGTAATAATGTGACATGGCTTACAATGAATGGGACTGCTGTCAAGTAGGTAAGCGTGTGCCATCCTACATTGAGTAACAACAATTATGAGTCATCTTTATCGTCCAATTCCGCTATGGTGCTTACAATAATATTTGTAAGAACGTCTTTATAGTGCTGCTCACGATCGTTGGACGCTCTAAGATCGTTGGATGAACACAGTGATAATTTTGTAAATAAAATGTCATGCGTTCATTCAACGGTCATTGAGCGCCCAATAACTGATCGAAGGATTCTGAGTGTTGTAAAGACGTCTTTACAAATGGTGTTGTAAGGACCGTAGCCGGAATCTCTTATGGTTAGTGATTGGATTGGTAGAGAGAGAGGGGGGAAAGTCGGAAAGAGAGAAATTTACTATGGACATTTAGGAGCATGAAGAGTATGGCGAAAATCCAAAGTGGGAAACTGTAGAAAAAAACATTGAGAAGTTGGTTGTGTTATGCACAAGATAAGTAGTTTGGTTTCAATTTTGAGAGGAACTCAAGGAGAATACAGGGGAGGGGGTGGAAAGGCAGAGACCTAATACCAACGACCACTTTGAAGTCATCTTCCATGCACCTCTTTATGTATCGATGGAAGTCGAATTTGGCATTCGAATTTAAATGTGCCTGTGCATTAGTATATGTTTAGGTGAGAGAGATGAAAATGTAGTAAAAGAATCCTTAACAAAAACTAAACTCATGTTTGTTTCATTGTTACTCACATTGATGAACCCATTTCTCATGGTTAAGTAATCCACTTTAGTGATTGAACCGGTAAATTGTCTAAAAAATGCAACCTGAAAGTTGGTATGTATTTAGACAAATTAAAAACCCGATACAGAAATGAACGAATAGAAAGAACTAGCAGATGAGTGATGTATACATACAACCCATCTGATCCCGGGTGCAGCGAAAATGCCAGAATGTCGCTTTACGAAGGAAGTCTGATGCGCCAATCTAAACCTTGTAGGATCTACATATTCGTGATGCTCGAACGTTAGAGCACGTCAATAAACGAGACAAACCAAGAAGAAGAAGAAGAAGAAGAGGGGGAAAAAGATATCACCATTGGTAAATTGGTACTCCTCAGAAGAAGTTTCTGACTCCCATGTCTTCCATTTCTTCACCTGATCCAGCACCAACCCAAACCATCATCTCTCATTTCGAAACGAAAACATCCACCACACATTAGATTCAGCCGAAGGAGCATCGAGACCAAACATCATTCGATGAACTTACTTTGGCTCTCCCTAGGGTCATGGTAATGACACAGTACATGATATGGAAAACGGCCAGCACGAACACAAATATGTGCAACTGATGCACCCCTGTTACGGATATCAAAGGTACCTTCCCCTGCCATTGTCAAAGTTTAACCCCGAAATCAATACCATAGAAGGTTAGAAACAACAATGCCATATGACACAAGATTACCCCCCAAGAATTTACCCTTGAGGAACAGTAATCCTCGCCGCCTTCTGCCCCTGCCAACATTCGATGCCACGATGAACCCATATCCCCTGTTCCATCGAAGGACAAGAGCTTTCTTCTGTCGTCGCCGCTGCCCTCTTTGCCTTTCTCTTTTGACACTGCCAAATCGCTAGTGGTGCTGCAAGGGAGCATTGTCCGCCCGAGTTCGTGGGAGATGCATATCCTTGGAATTGCTCTCGTTCCCGCCGTGAGCATAAGAGATATAAACCCTAACAACATCAACTCTATAAACAAGAGACATCCTGTCCTGTTAGTTCAAATTTCGAGGGAGAAATTTATGAAAGATGGACTAATATAGCATAGGAACTAAAGATTTTCATGTGAATATGTTACTGACCAGCTTTAACCTTCTCCAGGGCCTCAATCATGGCCTTCTTCTGCCGCTTCTGGAACCACTGCGGTTACAGAAAACAACGAAAGAAAAGAAAAAGAACAAGTGGACATGAGATTTGAACACAACGATTGCATAGAAATGAACATATTATGTGTGAAATGGGGAACCTTTCCAAGTTTGAGAATGGCATGTTCGATGAGAATGGACAAGATGATGAAGATGGAGCAGACGCCGGCGACGGCCCACGTCGGAGTGTCGTGCAGGGAGCGGTCTCCGCCACCACCTCCTCCCGCCATGGATCAACCCAATTAAGAGATTACGAGAAACAGAGTCTCAATCAAACTGAAAGGAAAGAAAGAAAGAAAGAAAAAAAAAATGGGTTTGGAAGAATGCTACTAAGCAACTGATGATGAGTGATAACTGCTCTGTTTCTTAAGTTGCGGGAAGTTCTCGCAAAGTTTAAATATAACAGAAGAAAATATGAAAAAGCATCAATCTTTTTTCCCATACTGGAACGTACGTCCCAATGCTAGCTGGGGAACCTGTCATCTAGTAGGTGTTTAATTTGTTTGATCATATATTAACAAAGGGAAATAGGAGGAGTTGCGTTGTTCTCTGTTTTGCTTCTTGTTCTCTGCATTCTTTCTTTCCTTCTTTATTTGTTGATTGGGAGCCGGCCAAGAAGCCGGATGTAGGAGTGGTGTTTTACCAAGTCTTTTAACAATGGCGCCGAAACAAAGGATATAGTTATGTAAACGGATTTGAGGCGATTTGAAAGTGATGGGACGTAGAGTACAATGCTGTGTTGAAGTCTCTGTTTTGCCTCTTTCCCACTCTGCCTTGTTTGCTACCGAGTTACACAACACCTGAACACCATATACCTATTGTGTGCATATGGCATATGGGGCCGTATGCCTTGTCGTTGTGAAGGAGATGATAATGGTGGTATAATACTGATCCATGATCGGCGTTTACAACGCCAGCAGCAAGACAAGGTTTGGACTTCGATGCTCATTGAATCAGGAAACAATTGAAAGCTAACTTCAGGAGAGATTATCATGATGTAAAGATGTTATGTTTCATGGCTTCTTGAACGGGCGCTTTTTTATGGTTTTTTTTACAACAAACTATATTAAGTTACTCTGCCCATGTTGAGGTTGAGTGAGAGAGCTCCACAAACTACATACGACTGATTAGCACAGAAAAGGTAAAACTTATAATTACAGAAAAGGTAAAACTTGATATGTGTTAGAGTGTTGGTTGGAAACAATGAGAGCTCCACAAACTATCTATAAATTCATGCTTAACTTAAGGTGCTTAGGACGAAACTGCTTGAGGGGTAGGCAATGGCCCATGAGGGGGTTAACAATGAGGGTGTGATGGTGGTTACCACATCGATGGGGCGGCGATGTTACACTGACCCTTCTTGAATGACATCTTTTAAGCCGAAATTAAACCAATCTAATAAATATTGTTAAGTTAGTCTTATAAACTACAACTAGCTAAATGGCCCGCGCTTTGCGGCGGGGCGACCATTTCATATGATACATCGTTCATTAAATTTTATAATTTGGCCACTTGAAACGTATAGAGAGCTTGACTTATGATAGTTACAACTTACAAATTAAACTGTCGAACTTGGGAAATTGTTGCTTCATTAACTCAATGTTTATTTGAATAATAGACAACTTACTTTGAAGAACAAATAAACTGAAAAATGAGCAATTGATTAACTATTGTAATCAGTAATAAGAAGATGAATTTTACTATGCTATATAGCGGAGTTATGGGCCATTTGCTATGGTCTGGATTTGGTTTGGAACCTCGGGTTCCGAGTAGTTAAGATTGCCACTGATTCCCAGCTGGCGCTTCAGTTGATTCAGGAGAGACACGATCCCATTCACCCTTATGTCACCCTTCTGAGTCTCATTCGAAGAAAGATTGGTCAAGATTGGTTGGTTAGCCTGTCTCATACGTACCGGGAAGGGAATAGAGCCACAGACTGGCTCTCGAAGCACAGTCTCGTCTACCCCTACGGTAAGTATGAGTTGGTTGATCCTCCTACGGGTATTATCCACTTGCTGCAGGATGATGCTAGAGGCATCACTTTTGAGCGCCAAATTGTGGCAAACTCTTCTTCCTTCACCTAATCCCCCCATGTATCTGTCTCTTTCTTGGCGATAGCCTCCCTCTTATGCAAAAAAATAAAATAAAATAAAATATAGCATTGGTGCTATAGGTTTTTGTCTTTATGGTATAATTTGAAGTTATACATTTAAGGTTATGGTACAACTTTAGATTGTACCTATACTCTTTTGTACAAATTCTTTCATGGTACAACTTGAACTTGTACATTTATGTGATGGTACAACTTTAAGTTGTAAAGTTGTACCATAACTTAAAGGTACAAATTCATTTATGGTACAACCTGAATTTATATATTTAACATTATGGTACAACTTCAAATTGTATATTAAAGCACCCATATTTTAGAGCACCGTAAAAGTGCTCGTAATAAGAATGGTAAGACATAGTCTATGCACTCTTTTGCCGCACTTGACATCATTCTGCTTCATTTTGCGTACACTTCTTTTTAGCATGAGGAACCCAAGAACCAAGTTAAAGAAGCATATCTAAGTAATCTAACCCGTAAAACATTTTCATTTAGCTATGAATATTAGAAATAAATATAATGCTAAATAGTCACTCATCACATGACTTTTACCCTCAATGGATGATGATGCTATAGGGATGGTAATGGACGGGTTTGAGGTGAATTTGTCTAAATTAACTTCATTTCTATTTTTAAATACCCAAATTCATATCAGTCCCATGCGGTGGAAGGTTTTACAAACCCATCTACATATCAGCGTTTTTCGGATACCCATGGGTAATACCCGACCCATCAACTATTCACAACTAATAAAAGAATATAGTGACAAATATGGATACTACCCGCCCAAAATTATGAAACTAATACATAAGAGGATGAAATTACGATTTGGTTGCCATCAATTACATTTGGAACTAATACAGACTTCTTATATTTTATGCATATAACATAATATCCTTGTTGGGGCGGGTTTGGGCATGAATATAGGGCGGGGGAGTTCAAAACCATACCCACCCCATATCCATCAACCTTTTTACGGGTTTTACCTATATCCGTAAAAAAGTTGATGAATATAGGATGGGTATGCGTATTGACTGGATCGGAGGCGATTGGGTACCCGTCACCATGAGTTTAATACAGAAGACCCGTCACCATGAGTTTAATACATAAGAATTAAGGACTAAATTATTTAAACATTGCAACTCTTACATATCGAACACCACATCACCCTTTTCCTTGGACAAATTTGGCCTCTCAATACTGATCCATAGATACAAAAAATACCCCTGGCTGCCAGCCTGCCAAACAAAAGAGATCTAATAAGTAATAACATCCATAAAACATTCATAAAGATTATATTGTAATAAAATCTAATCACGTTAAGACTAATAACATCCATTAAATATTCATAAATTATTCATATTGTTAAGACTAAACATAGAATGATCACGTTTTGCTTTCTAGGTGCGGATAAGATGGAAAGCGGGTTGAATTTCAACCTGCCAATTTTATAAGAGGGTAAAACATATACCCGACCTAAAATCCATCAACACCAAATTTTATCAGAGCTTGACCGAGTTAATTTGAAATGGATTCTCATGTATTTGGATTCAATTGTCATCCTATCCATCAACTAAAATTGAAGACGTCTTACATAATCTTCTAGGGCCTAATAACTAGTTAGTTACTAGGGGTTCAGTATTTCTTTTTGTTTCAAAAAATGTTCCAAACCTTGAATCCAGTGAGCTGCATCCATACTTAAAAAAAAAAAGGGTTAATTGCAAGGATGGTCACTGGGTTTACTAAAACCGTTCATGTTTGGTCACTACAAATATTTAATTTCATTCATGGTCACTAAGATTAGTTCAATAGTTCAAGTTTGGTCACTCTCTGTTAGTCTCCGTTAGTTTTTGCTGATGTGGCAGTCAACTATTATAGTTGACCGTTAAATGAGTGACGTGGCTATTAAAAAATAATAAAATAATAAAATCAAATATTTACAATTTCCACCTCATTTTACAACTATTAAAAATAAAAATAAAACTTACCTCATCCCCAACGCCCTCGCCACCACGGATCTCCGATTCAGCCTCCTCTCCTCTAACTCCTCCCCCGCGTTCACGCTCAACGCCGTCGCCAACTCCTCCTATTCTTGAATCAAATCTGGGGTTTTGCTTGGCAGAGGCTGGTCTCCATCACAGAAGCCAGTGTCGGTTTGTCTCCATCGCATAAGTCGTCGCGGATTTGCTCCATGAAGGAGGCCATTGCCCCGCGGAAGGATTTCAGGCCGTGGTAGTCCTGGAAGAGGGCGTTGTCCCTGAACCCGGTCGTGGCTCCCTTCCCCCACGTGGCGGCTTCGGAGTGGTGCTCGAGGAAGTCCTCGAGCAGGTCGAAGGAGACCTGGTTTTCGGCCAGACCCATCTGGATCACCCCGGTCGGGTTGGTCAGCTCGTCGTAGGCCTTCCACCCGGCGAAGTACGGAGAATCTTCTCCGTGGGTTTCGGAGACTGCGATTCTGGAGAGCGCCACGGCTGCGGGTTTTGGCTGCTGCTCGAGCTCGATTGCCATTATGACAAGTTGGTGGGAGATTCATTTAAGCTGGTCACATATAAAACAAGCTCGATCGCCATTATGCGATGGAGACAAACCGACACTGGCTTCTGTGACGGAGACCAGCCTCTGCCAAGCAAAACCCCAGATTTGATTCAAGAATAGGAGGAGTTGGCGACGGCGTTGAGCGTGAACGCGGGGGAGGAGTTAGAGGAGAGGAGGCTGAATCGGAGATCCGTGGTGGCGAGGGCGTTGGGGATGAGGTAAGTTTTATTTTTATTTTTAATAGTTGTAAAATGAGGTGGAAATTGTAAATATTTCAATTGTATTATTTTATTATTTTTTAATAGCCACGTCACTCATTTAACGGTCAACTATAATAGTTGACTGCCACATCAGCAAAAACTAACGAAGAATGACCAAACTTGAACTATTGAACTAATCTTAGTGATCATGAATGGAATTAAATATTTGCAGTGACCAAACATGAACGATTTTAGTAAACCCAGTGACCATCCTTGCAATTAACCCTAAAAAAAAAATAATGCAATTTATCAAAGCATAATGGGTAGCTAAACAGCTAACAATTAATAGCAAAGAAATAAGTATGAAAGATTTTATCATAGTTAAATT